CCCTCCTCTGGGCGCCTGACTCTTTCTGCAGCCTTTCTACAGTTGCTCCTTGGCTCCTTCTCACTACTGTCATTCAGCCACACCCCTGATCTTCTAGTAAGAAAGATCTACACCTTGCCTTCTCGGACAAGGGCGAAAAGTTTCGGAGGTGACCGAAAAAGGTTAGTTCCTAACCTAGCCTGTTTCATAAATAGACGTAAAACGGAGTTGTAACAGAAACAAACATGTTCTAAATGAATAAAGATGTGAACAAAACACAAGGAAGGAAAGACAGCACTCGTAAGCCAGACACATTATGTCATTCGACGTCCATAAATACGATTCAAAGGATAGATTGTTAGCTTGGGTTTTCTGACACTGTCTGTCCCCCGTGGTTATAAGCACCCCGCATAATTTAGCAAAATTTGATCTTTTATTTGCATAATTTCTGATTTTTTGTCCCATGATCATTTTTCGTTAAAATTAACAGAATAGCATAATTTCACATTTTTTGGCTCAATTTGTATAATTTCAGAATTATTTTTGTATAAAACCGCCGGGACAGCACTGTTTTGTCCATCTAACATGCTGGTCTCCTGTCGCCGGCGAAGACTGTTGTTAGTTTTGGTGTTGCTTTTGCTTTAGGTCACAAGATAGACTGTCTTGAGAAGTCAGCCCCTCCTACTTCCATACCCTCTGTGGCCTATAAATACAATGCCAGCTCTTAGTTGGACAGCTTAGTGGCCAATCTACATACAGCGACAGTCCCCAATCGTCTGTGTACAGTCGAACCTGCCCTGACGGCCAACTCTATAAGACGGCCACCAGTACAAATGGCCTCTTTCCATTTCCCCCCTAGCGTTTTTTCTATATAATTTAACTTTGTAAAACTGGCACTTGTCCGACATAGCCGCGGCCACCATATTTTATCACACAAACCATATCACACTAAATTATAACACCTGTCTTAGAAGTCCACCTCAGTGACTCCATTGCGTTTTGTAATAAATTGTGCATTGGCCCATGGCTTTGAGGGCGAGCCGTCATAATCCAATCACCTGTCATTGTTGTCAGATAGTCCCTCCACCCGATCATGTTGCATAGGCCTCTCCCACTGTTGACCAATAGGTACCAATGTTCAGCTGCTGGTGAGGTAAGCGTGTGATCCCTCATAACCCAGAAACCCCGCCCAGAACTCATACACAAATCGTATGTGAGACGAGTGGTCACTGTTTACCCAGTCTGTAACAAAGAAACAATGGACGTCAACATGAACTTGTGACAGAAGTGTCGCTCGTTCTCCGAGCGCTGGCGACCCATGTGTTTGTTTTACCCCAGCACTCGGCATTACTCGTCTGATACATTTCGTTTTATTGTCATTCTTGCGCACAATCAGCAACAAAATAAAAACAACAACAAAAAAACAGCAAAAACCAACAGCAACAAAAACAACAGCAATGCAGCTTCTTTCGATTGGGACCTCAGATGGGAATGGTTGGTTTTCTTCCTCTTGATCAGTCCAGTCTAAGAAGGCCACCTGTCTTATACGGTTTCCTCTTGACAATGGATGGCCGTCTTACACAGGTTTGACTGTTTTTCCTACAGACCAATGTTCCCCCACAAAGGTCTGACTGGAATGGCTTCCTGTCCCTACCACTGACAAAGGTCTGACTGGAATGGCTTCCTGTCCCTGCCACAGACAAAGGTCTGACTGGAGTGGCTTCCTGTCCCTGCCACTGACAAAGATTTGACTGGAGTGGCTTCCTGTCCCTGCCACAGACAAAGGTCCTCACAGAAGCAGCGAGAAGCCCGTGGTAAAAGGGCCCTTGACCCTGTTGTCGTTGTTGTTGCTGTTGTTGTAGTTGTCGTCGTTGTTGTTGTTGTTGTTGTTGTTGTTGTTGTTGTTGTTGTTGTTGTTGTTGTTGTTGTTGCTGCTGTTATTGTTGTTGTTGTTGTTTCTGTTGCTTATAAGGCCATTCCGTGGTAGATTTGAATAGCTAATCTCAGATGTGATTCTTTTCTCCCTCTCACTATCTCTTTCTGTCTCTCTTTATATATATATCTGTCCCCGTCGTTTTAAGCAAGAAAAATTCTGAAATTATGCAAACTGAGCCCAAAAAAATGTAAAATTATACGAATCAGTTAATTTTAACAAAGTAAGTTAAAGGAAAATAATCAGAAATTATGCAAAAAATGATCAAATTTTGTTAGATTATAAGGGGTGCATAAAACCACGATATAAATAAAAAATATATATATAATTATATATATTGTGTATGTGTGTCAAAAGGTGAATTACTTAAGCTACTGGTGCAGTCCATTTCCAAGGCAGTCATATTTTTTGTAAGGCAATAATTATTGCTGTTGTTACTGTTGCTGTTTTGGGGGTTGTTGTTGTTGTTGTTGTTGTTACTACTGCTGTTGTTTTTATCATACGTGGTAGATTTGAGTGGCTAATTCGAGGTGTGTATGTGTGTGTGTGTGTGTGTGTGTGAGAGAGAGAGAGAGAGAGAGAGAGAGAGAGAGAAAGAGAGAGTCGGAGAGAGAGAGAGAGTGTAAGTGTGTTTGTGTATGTGTGTGTGTGTGTGATTGTGAGTGTGTGTGTGTGTGTGTGTGTGTGTGTGTGTGTGTGTGTGTGTGTGTGTGTATCAAAAGTTGTGAATAAACTTAAACTGCTGTTGCAGTCAATTTCGAGGACAGTCAGGTTTTTGTAGTTTATAGTAAATTTGTTCTGTTTCCTAATGGCTTGGCCTTTAACCCATAAAGAAGGATATTATCACCTGATTATTTTGTGTTTCTAGATCTCTCCATTTCATTTTTACTCGACAAGGAAATCTTTAGTTAGTTGGTGGAATAACTTATATAAGATTTTTCGTTCCGTTGAAAGTTAAATTTTGACATACACCACAACTAAAAAGGGTGTCAAAAGAGTGGTAAATCTTTTGATAGATTCTTATTTTCCAGATGAAGAGAGATGATGAGATAACACAATAATACGCTATACCTAATAATTTCATCTTTCATTCTCTGTACAAGAAATGCTCGTCCTTGTAAAAAATACCAAAAGGAGAGATAAACAAACCAGCCATCTTGAAAACCCCCCCACTAAAAATAGATAGATAGATAGATAGATAGATAGATAGATAGATAGATAGATAGATAGATAGGTAGATAGGTAGATAGATAGATAAACAGTTTTAAAAGCTTGAAAAAGGGGGGAAATCAATTTGATTCTCAGACAAGGAAGGGAAAAATTAAGTCAATCTGAAAATGAAGTTTTTTAGTTTTTTAAAATTTATTGGGCACATATACATCACATCAAGATCACAAACACAGTCCTAAATAAAGAAAGACTAACTAACTACAACTTTTTTTAATTATATTTGTGTTCTCTCTCTCTCTCTCTCTCTCTCTCTCTCTCTCTCTCTCTCTCTCTCTCTCTCTCTCTCTCTCTATCTCTCTCTTTCACACACACACACACACACACACACACACACACACACACACACACACACACACACACACACACACACACGCACACACACATACGCTGTCTCTCACTAACTTTCACTCTTAGCTACTTTGTAATCAGTGTTTTAATCTCTCATTTTCTCCCTTTCTCACTCTCTCTCTCTCTTTCTCTCTCACTCTCTTTCTCTCTCTCTCTCTCTCTCTCTCTCTCTCTCTCTCTCTCTCTCTCTCTCTCTCTCTCTCTCTCTCTCTCTGTCTCTCTTGGGGGCGAATAATTCAGAAAGGATACGAGATTAGACTCGGTCTACGAAGGCGGTGGGCAGACGCGTCGACCGAGAACTGGAGTGGTCAGAGTCGAAGACGCGCGGAGGATGAGACTGCCGTCTATGTATCTAGAGTACCCGGTGCGAGAACCAGCTTCTTGTAAAAAAGAAGCAGGCCGTGTGCAGCTCCTCGGCAGCAGGGAGAAATTGGCG